GTGTCAAATCACACCTTTTTTGTGGTTGAAAATGAAGGAAAATGTATTGATGTGATGGAAAATATTATTTTATTGATGAATGTGTGGTTGAAAATTAGTAGAAGAATGAGAATGAAAAAAAGAATGGTTACCAAACGGTGCCTGAAAGTGAAACAATCCATTTTTGTTTTATTTTTATACTTCTATTTTTTCACAAATATGTATTTAATTAACCTTATCAATGAGTTAGATAGTATAGCGATCGTAGCAAAAATCATGAACACGAGAAAGAGAACGATTTAACTAGTAAAGATTAAACAATGAAGGCATGTTCGATTGCCACATTTTTTTGAAAAATATCGCATTCGAGGAAAACGAATTCCACTTTGACCGTTTGATTGCAACGTGAAAATGAAAATCGTTTTCTTCCAATGTGACATTTTCCATGGAATTCGTTGCAATCAAACAGGACGTTAAAGAAGAATATTTGAAAAAAAAAATCAAAATTGTGACATTTTTATTTTTGAAATTAGATTGGGACGTTTTAATTTACGAGAAGATGTTCATTAATAAAATCCTCGAACAAACTATTTATTTTTCTACACGATACCAAGCTGTTTTTAAAAATAATCATCATTATAGAACCCCAATCCACCCACCCACCCACCCCACCTTCTTCGCTGATTAAGGAATCCAATCCAATTTTGTTCTTATCTTATTCTATGATTACAGCAGAAAACCAGGAACTATATTGTGATGTTATTCATCATCTCATAAAGCCATGTGTGACATTTAGATGACTCTTTATCGATTTTTCATCTCAAATATAAGATTTGAAATAGCGAATTAGTTATTGTCACGTCACCGATGCGTTGCTTGTCATTAATACTACTTTCTTTAATTAAATTAAACTCAATATAATCTAACTAACTTGTGATTTGTCATCGACACTACAGAAACATAAGAAAATATACATGAGAGATACACTCAATCACGTGTAGACAACAACTTTCCAATCTAGTAATATTTGTGGTACGCCTCAATTGACGAGACCTCAAGCATCAATCATGTGGCATCTAACTAGCAAATTCATTCATGCCCGTACTCCACGTCGTATCCTAAATGGTTTGGTCGAGGTTTCATGTAAAGTCCGACCCCCCACGACCTAGGTTAGGTGCTATAACCTTCTGCGGATTAAATCCGAAGCGATTAACTTCTTAATATAAGAAGGCGTCTCTTGCTTCATATATTCCAAGAAATCCTCCGTACAAGATCTTTTCTACGATTGATTGATTTAACAACTCTACAACAAACACCTCTCAGTCAACCTGTCATTGTACTTTTCAGAAGTTAGATCTAGGCTAAAATATACGATGACCAGTTTTCAAAAACATTAAGGGGCTGTTCTCTTTGTATTTCACTTTTGTGTTTTGAGTTTTGAATTCATTTTAGATTTTGGGTTTTGTGTTTTAAGTGTCCATTTTGAGATTGTTGAAATGTGTTCTTTTTGGCATATTGAAAAATTGTTTTGAAAACACCAAAAATGTGTTTTGAAAATTTTGGCTTGA